GTTATAATTTCCCCAGGACAAAACAATTGCTTTATGCAGACTGCTGTGTCAGCTTTTACCTTATAAAGCCAGAGAGAGTTCAAAACTCTTAAGCCATTAAAGTTTTGTTTATCACACAACTTTCTGGAATACTTGATTCTGATAGGTCAACTGTGGCAGGCAACTTATTTTCTCCGTAACTGTCTAGTTTTATGTCTTTCATCAATCACTCTGTGCTCTCTTCTCACATAATAAAATAACATCAACTCAATATTTCAAGCTTTTTTTTTGTTTTTTGGTTTATGATAAGAATCAGCAAATAGGGTGTCAAAAAGGTGTCAAATAGGGTGTCCATGCATTCATATGAAGTCTCGGTGATGCAACTATGACGAATGTTTCCTTGTCTAAATAAGGCACAATGTGTCTAGACCTGCCTGTTTAAACCTAGAATCAGAATATAGAATCAGATTTAATTTACAGTAGATGTTTCAGTTTGGGCTTGGATAAGTTTCAAACAAACTATCTGCCATCAAAGCTGAGCTTTATTTAACTAACAGCATCTCAACTTCACATGGTCTTTGCAAGAAGCAAGAATACAACATTAAATACTTTAATATAAAACAAATTTTGAGTAATCATGCAGTCCATGCAACTTAAGAGTCACAGTTCCCAAATTATATGAACAAGTGCGATATGTGGCTTCCAGAGCTCTAACATCTAAACATGGTGACATGCAGAGAGACACAGATCATGATAAACATTCATTTTAAGATATTTTTAAGCTTGAAGAGAAGTGTTTAGCGAATATTCTAGCACTGCAAAGCACCGTTAATTTTCAGTTTTTCTGTTTTATATATGCATTAAGTTTATATATAGGCTATATATATATATATATATATGAAATGGATACTGTTGGAAGTCTATAAACATTCCACATTCAACTATTAATATTAATAAGTACCTTATTAATATTTTGAATTTGATTTGATTTGATTTTTAGCTTTTAATAAAAAAAATTTGCAATTTTGTTGTCTGCTTTTGTCATTTTTATTAGTTTTTTTCTTTTGCTATTCAGTTGCCATTTATTTTTAGTTCAGTTTTAGTTTTTTCCCTATTAGTAATTTAAGTGCATCAACTTAAAATTATTTCAGTTTCATTTAGTTAATATATTTTATTTCAATTAACAAAATTATCTTTAATAGTTTTCATTTGTGCTTTAGTTAAGAATAATCACTTTGTAAAAGCAGCATGTGTCCCTTAATACCAATTTGACCAATTAAAAAAAAACGGATAATGTCCTGTCCTGGAAGAAAATGACCTTTTCCGTTAATTTTCCGGCAAATTGCTCCATATTACAATGGTGCATTGGGATGTATTTTATGGACTTTTCTTTGTCACATTACATAGCCAAAGTAAAAATGTTAAATGTGGCCTTCCATGTCATAAGGTTTCAGATCAAGTCTTAATTTTGTATGCATTCATCTTAAAATGATCCCCTATCTTCTGCACGGGGAGTGCAATGAATTAGAAAAGGAAAATGGATTGGAAATCTTCCAAACGTAGGTGACAGATTCAACTGTGTGTCAGGTGCGATCGTCAGACTTGTTCTAAATACAGATGGCCATTCGCGAGGCAAAGCTTTACCTGTACAGGTGACAGGGCTTGTCAACCCCTTCCCGTGACAGCATGGGAGGACAGAAAATAAATTCAACTAACCTACAAGAATAGTCCTCATTATAATGGAACGCCCCACCAAAAGTGTCACTACCTCCGTGTATTGAGGCGCAGGACACATTGGTGTGACAAGGGGGTCTCGCATATTTTTTTCAAAGTTGTTTACAGTGAATGTTGCTGCGCCTTCTCAGCTCTCTCTCTCTCGCGCGACGCTTCGCGGTGACAATTGACTCAGCCGGTTATATGTGGGCTCTTGAATGTCACAACGAAATTGTGCGGATATCATCCCTACGTGTACAGTCACAAAGCCATCTAAAGCCGAAGGATAAGCATAGCCCGTGTGCTGCCTTTTACCGACGACTCGCCGAGATCTGCAGGGAACACGGGGCGACGGATCAAGCGTCCTTCAAGTTTGCCCGTGTCCGGTTTATCCGAACAGCTCAACGGAAAGACGTTAACACGTCGGAATACAAACCGAGAGACGGGAAGAGATCCAGCGGCTGAGGTACAGGCAGAATGATGATGCGTGGGTAGCCAGTGGTTAACCTGATAGCGGTGACCCATGAAATGTTCCTGCAAGCTGCTAAATGAGGCCCGGACAGAATCTGTGGATCTGTGGAATGGATTCAAATAGTAAAATGTGTTTAAAAATACCTAAAATACTTCATCAAGGAGGAGGCGGGGGACGTGTGGAGCTTTGTGAATGACAGGCGGTCCAATTCTGCTGAGCTTTCTGTGGAGTTCAGTGGGCGCAGATTCTGTGTGGGCCATCAACCAAAACTTCAACAGGCACAATAATAGCTCTCGATTCACTTGACGCATTAAATATTGTAGCACACAAAAGATATCAGTTCTGTTTCACACCATGCAGGACCCCTTTTCTTTTTTAAGCTTTGATAAAACCAGCGAACTGAAAATAAAGGAAGTATAGCTATAATGAACACTTTTCAATAAGGCTCAATTTGTAAATAAGATAGTGGATTAACATCGCAAATTAACAATTTTACAGCATATATATTAATCTAGGCTATATATACATTAAATAAATAAACAAATAAATGCTTTTCATTCTTTATATTCCACAAAAATATTAAGCGGCTCTGTTGAACTGCTTTGATATCACAGGAATAAATTAAAATAGAATTGAATAAATAATTCAATTTAAAAAAAATTTTTTTTTCAATTTGAATAAATGAAATCGAGTTTTTCATTTTATTATTTATATTTTATTGTTTAAGACATTGAATAATGTTAATAGATATAACATATAATAATTTATTGTAACAAAATTTAAATATTTTAAAATATTATTTAAATATCAGATGCAGTAAAACTGTTATTTATTGTTAGGTCATGACACTGAAGAACAGTATTGTAAGTGTAAGAGATAATAAGAGAAAAATATAGGACAATATATTTTAAAATCCATAAAAATTCAAACTAAAGATAGCAAGATTTCATGTAGCAAACACAAATTTCTCATTCATTCTTAAGTAAAATGCATATGAATTTTTAAACTAACCAGGCATTGGATATTCATTCCCACAATGTAAGCGTTTACTTTCAAGTGTTCTGAAAATTCAGCTTTACATCACAGGAATAAATTATATTTTAACAGATATTCAAATATAAAACAGCTGTTTGAAATTCTAATAATATTTCACGATATTAAATAACCAGGCATTGGATATTCATTCCCACAATGTAAGCGTTTACTTTCAAGTGTTTGCCTGGGAATTCCCTGTAAATCAGGCATAAATTCACAATAACTTTACAAAGCTGAAATTATCGATGTTGGCAACAGTTGTGCTGCCAAATATTTTTTGGAAACTGTGATACTTAGAGTTAAAAAGAACAGCATCTGTATTTTTGATCAAATAAATGCAGCCTTGATGAGCATAAGAAACTCATGTAAAAAACATAAAAAATCATTCTGATCCCAAACTTTGACCGGTAGTGTATGTATATATATATATATATATATATGTATATGTTATGTGAGCTGTAAAGTTGTCTAAATCATGCCATTAGTGGTGGGACTACTTTTATAGGCAAATAAACTACTGGTAATGCATTACCGACCAACTGTAACTTGTTTTTACAAATTTAAGGACAATTCGAAATGATTAGCTCCATTCCTACAGCCCAAAACAGTAGAGCGTGCATTAACAACACTGAGATCATGGGTTCAATTCTCAGCGAATCACATTAACTTGATTAAATGTGCACTTGTATTAAATGCGTGCTTAAATGCAATATAAGTTGCTTTGAATAAAAGCATCTGCCAAATACATTAAATAAAATCTCTATTTGTGTTTATATAATCAACAGCATGTTATAGATATAAGCTCTATAAAGCTCTAGTTATTGATTTGTATGTAATCCAAAACATTCCTTATAATTGGAAATCTTTTAATTGATTGTTTTTTTAATTTTTTAATTTTACTTTCATGTTCAGATCTATAAACGTTTTCTTCACAAAAGACTGAACCATAAAAAAAATGATAAATTAACAGTAAAGAAAGTGAAAATCCTAGCCAATTTGGCATCACAAATCATTTTAAAACAAAAACACTGAACAAAAGACGGTCTGTCGTATAATCATAATGTCTTCATGTGAGAAGTAATAGCAGGAGGGAGACTGGGAACAGCAGAGGGCTGGAAGTGAAAATACAAGAGAAAGAGAGTGATAATAAACAGAAAAGAACACGGAAGGATAAAAAAAAACATTATAGCTGGAGCTTTTGGAGCTATAGCATAAACCTATAGAATGAAAATCCTATCATTATTTACTCATGTTATTCCAAACCTGTATGCTCTTATTTTTTTCTGTGAAACACAAATGTAGATATTTTCAAAGAATTGTTGCACAGCTCTTGCCACACACTGACAGTTCACAGTGACCCGGGGTCTGTCAAGCTTAAAAAGGGCCTTTTTGGAGTTTGACAGACGTAAGGGAACACAAAATACTCCATAAGACTTGTGTGCTTTTGGTCCCTTTTAAAGCTTGACAGATGTTGTAAGAGCTGTGTACAGAACAAATAACAGCATAAGGGTTCAGAACAACAGATTTTTCTTTTTTTTTTTTGTATTCAGACGAACTGTTCCTTTAAACCAGAGTTTCCCAATCTGGGTTTCACAAAGGAACTGCAGAGGGTTGTGAGATAATGAAAAGCCAATATTTATTAAACATTTTAAAATGCAAAATAAATAAATAGCTTCAAAAATAAAATACAAAAATGTAAATTATTTTAAAAAACAATATTTTATTTGTTTACCTGCATGTCATGTGACCATTAACTGACATCACAGAACCGTGAACATGCGAATGTTTTCAAATATTACATATAATTTAAAATCTCAAGAAAATATTTTAGTTCAAAGGGGGTTTGACGGACAAAATAGTTTGGGAATCCCTGCTTTAAACAATTCTTTGAAAAAGACTTTTGCTTTTGATTTAGTATTTTGAATACTATGTTTCTGACTCCTCGCTGGTTTTCATTAATTTAATGAAAAATAATGGTAACGGACATACTCCACATTAGAAGTGTAACATCTAGCTCACGGTAGTTCCTATAGTCAACATTAAACTGCATTTGCAACCCATTTTACTGCCATAATGTGCTAAACAGAACCTTAAATGGGAACATAAAAGGTAAAGCAAGACTGTTATCCATCAGGAATTGATTGCGACATAATTGTGTGATTGATTGTTACACAACAAACTAATGAATCACTTATAATAAGACCAGTAACGTTTAGTGGAGAAAATGGAGACAATTTTGCAAACAACTGCTAGTAAACTGCCATAAAAATGAGCAAATTTATATAAATATTTTCATATATTTAAAGCCCAGCCTTAGCTGTAATTCACATGTCTAATGACACCAGGAAATATATGAAGTAACCACCTTGCCATCTACTGGTCAAAATATGTAATAAGAATTACAAGGAATATGAGGTGCAGTGATATTTTCAACAGTCCAGCTGAGAACATCTACATTTGCAAGTTTTCACAGCTTGAAAGAGCAAAAGGGTTAACACTCCTCTTTAGCATTCTGTCATGGATCCTTGGCCATCTTGTGTTTCAGATAGTTGATTTTGAGTGAATAGTACTCTTCCTGAAGCTGTAAGACTCTTTCCTGTCTGCGTAGCACAGACATCTCCAGATCGCTCTTTCCTGCTGATTGTGTAGGCGGGGGTGAAACAGTCTCTGCTGTGTTTGATTGGCTGTCGTTCGCACGGTTAACAGGCTGAACGTCCAACACAGGTGCAATCTCAGCTGGAATAATGTATTTCTCTTCCTCCTCCTCCTCCTCTTCTTCATGTGAGATTGCACTTTCATTCTCAGTTTCAGCTCTGTGAAAGGGCAGAGTTGTTAAACTAGCAAAATGGAGATTGTCAAATATATTACACTTAGGCTGAATTCAGTTCCCTTTCATGACTTATTGCGCTTGAATGATCAAATACACACAAAATTATGTCAAATACTCATCTTAGGGGGTATTCACATAAAGTCAGTTATGTCTTAAGTGAATGTAAACAGTTGGGAGAAAATCGTATGTGTATCAATCATAGACTGTATAAAAACATGGACGTAGTGTCAGTGACGTAACCCGTAGACTTTCGACGAGCGTTTTGAAGCCTAAAGTAGGCGGAGCCAGCCGTCGCCATCTTGGCAGCTGCCCGTCACTCCCGGAATTGAAACGGATGAGTTATAAAAAAATTCACCCCCTCACAGTTGTCATGAAGGGCAAAATTAGCTATATAGACCAAAATAATTTTTTGAACCAGGCTATAAACATGTTTTTTTCTGCTGTAAAGTTGGGCATTTTAACATGGGGAGTCTATGGGATTGACTCCCTATTGCAGCCAGCCTCTAGCGGCCAGCTGATGAATTACAGTTTAAGTCACTTCCTTGTTGGCTTCACGAGAGAGAGCGGGAGGTTGCCGCTCGGTATCAATGTACTGGATTTGTGCATTAGGTCTTAAAGTGACAGCTGCCTAATATACCTGCTGCTGTCTGTGTTTTTAATGTTAATCAAACAAAAGACAAATAGTTCACTGCTCTTAAGTGAATAACTTTAGTAGCTTTAATAAGAATCAATGTATATTTAATTTACACAGTGAATAAATTAGGCAGGGTATCATTTTTACATTAGATTTTTCAGTTTCTTACTTGAATGCTACTATTAAATAGAAGTAATGTACTTGAAAAATGTAAATCAAAAATGTATTTCATATGAGAAAATAATGATCATTTTCTTTAACACATCTTATGTTTGAATCCATTCTGCAAAATTATTCCCCCCCCAAAAAACATCAAAAAATGTTCAAAAAACATCAAAAAAAGAAAAATGCAAAATGTCCACAATGTTGTTCGTTACTATTACTTATTCAAGATTATTATTGTTAACTCAAAGTATTAAAATAAAAAATAAGGCTGAAATAAAAATAAACTATTAGATTAAATTAAAATTAGACATGTTGTCATGGCAACTAACTGTAAAAAGCACTAAAAAATACTAACAGGAAATAAAAAATAAATTGGACTAAACTTGAAATAAAAATAAATTGAACCTAAATTGCGATATTTACGGAAAACAACTAACAACAGTGACAAAGCAAATAACAAGTTAAAACGTCATCCGCTGGATGCCACTCTCTCGTGAGCGTGCGTACGACTGTTAGCGGAAGCTAGAGATTAAGCTTTATAGTTTAAGTTGTAAATATGGATATTTTTCTTACACAAACGCATCGTGTCAATTCAGAAGGCCTTTATTAACTTTATGTGGACTTCTTTTATAATGGATGGGTGCAATTTTTTGGACTTCAAATTTTGGGCTACCATCCACTCCCATTATAAAGCATGGATTAGCCTGGACATTATTTAATATAACTCCGATTGTATTCGTCTGAAAGAAGAATGTCATATACACCTAGGATGGCTTGAGGGTGAGTAAATCATGGGGTAATTTTCATTTTTGGGTGAACTATCCCTTTAATGATTAAGAGTGGAACTAGGAAACAAAACAGGTCGTCTGTGCTCATACCCTGGCGAGTCGTACAGTGGCATGTAGCTAGTGCTTGGAAAACTAGAGCGTGCTTGGTTGTGAAGAGCATGTCTGTGGTAAGATGGATATGAAGGCAGAGATGGGTGGTGTATGAACTCCTTTAAGATGTTCCCTTGAAACTCCATCATCTCCTTCCACATGGCCATCAGACTCGCCCGTTCCTCCTTCTGTTCCTCTCTGGCTTCCCTTCGCAAGCGTTCCTCATACTCCCTCTGGTTCTGCACATGGAGAGGTTCTTGATCTCTCACAGAGTCGGTAATGGAATGTTTTTTGGCCTTCTTCCTCACAGGTTGAGCGACCACTTAAATATATGAACACATAATAATCAGTTATGCACATCATCATTCATGTTCAGGTAGGGATTCACAAAATGTTAAATTTTTTTGGTCAGTCTAACCACTTTTACCTAAAATATTTCACTGTGATTTTAAATTAATATTTCAATAATTCAACAATATTTCAAAACACATTTAATGGTCACATGACATGCAGATAAACAAATAAAATATTTAAACTTTTGTTAAAATTTGAAGTGTTTCACTTTTTTTTTTTTAATTATATATTTGTATGATTTAATTAATCACTAGTTTCATCAACTCATGAACACCAGTTTAGGAAACCTTGAGTTAGAGCAACAATAGTCCCAATTTTGAAGATACAAAGCATAAACAAAAACAGTGATGTCTGATTAGCAAATAAATGATTTTGAATCAGATCTTTCAAATTAGTCACTCAAACGGATTCAAATAAATCGTAAACATTTCTCATGGATTTAAAACATGTAAATGAGGTAATATGACAAAAAGATAGCATACTAAATACTGTTTACATTAGTAACATTAGTTACGTACTACATACAAACTATTTTAAGACAAAAATGTACACTATGTGTATACTGTGTATGCAGTAGTAAGTATAAACTGATATTGTATTTGAAACAGCCTCCCCTTGACTTATTATTAGTTGTAAATCAAACACAATGATCAAAATAACATGAAAATTAGCCCATTTTACATCAATGCATTTACAGTGTTTGACATGTTTATCATTGCACACATTGAATAGTTTACCATTGCACACTGTTTCACACACTACATTTGTATTACGCGAAATGCAGCACATAGCGCGCAGCAACTATCGCTCGTGAAATCATGTGACCATAAAGTAGCACACTATCGTTCCATTTGACACACTACTTCATCAGTACGCATCAACACACCGTCTGCCGTGTCATCCGTCTCCTCGTCGTGACTGACTAACACCTCGATGTCAGTGGATCTGCTCTCATTTCGGGTGTCCTCGATGGACGTACTCTGGGGCTCTTCGAGTTTCACGTTGTTATGAAGTGTCAACGCGTCCGCGTGGCGGTGGCTGCCCCAAATGGACTTGCAGAGATCATAATAATTCCAGTACACTCTGCCGTGCCCGTTGTTTTTGTGATGCTCGAGTATTTTCAGGAACTTCTGCTTGAGTGTTTTCAGTTTGGTGGTGACCTGTCGCTTGGTTCTGTGGATCCCTTGCGCCTTGAGAAGCCTTGATATTTCAGCGTAAATAAGAGAATCGCGAACCGTTCCGCTGATTTGCCTACTGATTTCTTCGTCCTGTCGGATGTACAGCAGCGCCTTCGTCTCGGTGTCCGTCCAGTTTCTTTCTACTGACATTTCTTCATACATTTCGCGGCGTGGAAATCTTGGGAAATCAGGTAAAGAGTTCATTTACACACAGCATCAGTTGATTCACGAGTCACGACTCGCGCGTCACGTAGGCCTGCAAGTTCATGACGTATGTGCGTCAGTCGTTCTGAACTTTGTGATTGGCTCAGACTCTAGCAGCCCTCTGGCGTCATGCGTCCGACACTTGAAATGCCACAAATCGTTCATTTATTTCACGTATATTATACAAATCCCAGTATTTAGGTGTTTGTTTTTTTTGCCGGAATTTTGAGTTTTAAATTTTTTTTAAAAGATATATCTTATTAAAAAAATAGTTTAGTTTTCCATATATAATGAATGGTACATCATGCACTTAATGGAAAATAAAGAGATATTTCGGACACAGTTATGGTTTTTATATTAATTTTGAATAGCAAACTAATAGACATATCTCAGTAAGAAAGTTTAAAACCAAATCAATTCAATAAACGCGTTGAGATTAGCTTTAGTGGTCAATAAACAAATACATTAATGAATTGAAGGATATCCTATTTCAGGGAAAAAATCCTAAATCCAGGTAAATCTACATAAATTTTATTCTTTAGAGCCCAATTTATGTAGGAGCCACCCAAGTTAATTGTCTTGCACGGAATTAAATCACCCAACAGCCCACTTTCTCATCCAGCCTGGGTTTATGTTTGGATCTGATTCCACCAGAACACAAATATTCGACATTTTTGGATCGGAGCTGGAGAAATGAGCCTGAAAACAGTGTCACATATTATCTTCTGACGCAAGAGATAAACATTTCTTTGAGAATTGATAAAACATTTTATTATGTACATGCTAAGGCACTCACTGTAGAACCGACCAACAGCTGATTGGTCAAACCAACACTTACAATAAAGCTAAATTACAAAGTCACTCAAAAAAGTATAAAAGGTTTTTCTGGAAAAACAAACAATGCAGAGGATTATTTCTAAGTTTAAAATATGGAGTTTGTATAAACAAACAAAAAAGAAATACTTAAGAGCTATAATACAAAGCACCAACTGCAAAGAGATCAACAGTTGGACATCAGATATTGAGACAGATGAAGGCAAAAGAACATAAATGGATAAAATACAAGACGTTTGTACAAGAAAAAATTTCAATCCCAAATTAACCGACAATACTGAGAAATACAGATACAGCTAGCTATAAATAGCACTGATCGCATGATTTCAAGAAAACGCATTTCATTTCCACCCCTTTGAGCAATGTGACCAATAAACATCACTAAAATAACATGCATGAGCAAAACCAAATAATACAATTATAACTGCGTCACTGTTAAACAAACAGTGTTGAACAAGTTATTGTTAATAAAATACAAGACGTTTGTACAAGAAAAAATTTCAATCCCAAATTAACCGACAATACTGAGAAATACAGATACAGCTAGCTATAAATAGCACTGATCGCATGATTTCAAGAAAACGCATTTCATTTCCACCCCTTTGAGCATGTGACCAATAAACATCACTAAAATAACATACATGAGCAAAACCAAATAATACAATTATAACTGCGTCACTATTAAACAAACAGTGTTGAACAAGTTATTGTTACCACATAAACAAAATGGAACAATCCATCAAATTTAACATCTAAAATGCACTGTAAACATGACCATTTCAGAAAACAGAACACTGTTTTGAGAAAATACATGAAATGTTAAAGATAAATATTACAATTAATTGAGAGGTGTAGATACCACACAACTGAATATAAAGCTGCACAGAGGATTTGCAGGATGGTCGCAAAACTGATTCGACCATTGGCAGGTTCACCAAAAACACACAAAATGAAAACATTTAAAAGCTTACATTTGCTCAGTACATTGTGCCAGTAAATAACTTGATTAAAATAAAAATAAAAAAATAAAATCACTAATATATCTAATTATTTTCCTTTGTGTTAATACAGTATGTGAGGGCACGGAACCCACTGGGAGATTCTACTGCAAAAACGATGGTCACATGACTCTTGATTGAGAAAACTACAGCTACAGAATATCTCTGTAATGTAAGAATCGATTCGTTATGAAAGCATGATGAGCATCATGATAAAACATGATACATGATTCTTTGATTCGGTTTAAATTGATTAAGTTTATACCAATCTCCCTGATATTCAGAAATTCTGGTGTATTAAAAAAAAAAAAATCTGTCATAACTCGTGATGGTTTTTGGCTTTGCTATTGTTCTGTGACATAATTAATGTACTCGATCTCATTAGTCATTGAGCAGCACATAGGAAGAGTTTTTGGCTTTAAATTGGGTCTGTAAGGAGACTGGGCATCCTCACAGGTCAGAGACTCGCTCTCTCGCTGACCACATCCTGCAGGCGTTTGAGCAGCACGTCGTCGTTCTCTTGCCGCAGGCATTTAGATGGAGACTCCGTCTCATCACCTTCCATGTTGAACGCCCGCTTCTTGCTCACCCCACCCTGACGGATCATCTGGTTTATGTCGCTCAGCTCCTGAAGAGAAACAGGAAGTAGAAGACTTTTAGATCAACAACCATAACTGGCAAAACTCACAGTAGGAGCTTCCAAATATAAAGACATAAAAATAAATTAACTGGTTTTTAATTTAATAAAAATTTACTAATCAGTTATATTGACTATTGTGTTTATTTCATTGTGTATGAACATTTTTTTCAAAATATCTTCGGAGACTCCGTCTCATCACCTTCCATGTTGAACGCCCGCTTCTTGCTCACCCCACCCTGACGGATCATCTGGTTTATGTCGCTCAGCTCCTGAAGAGAAACAGGAAGTAGAAGACTTTTAGATCAACAACCATAACTGGCAAAACTCACAGTAGGAGCTTCCAAATATAAAGACATAAAAATAAATTAACTGGTTTTTAATTTAATAAAAATGTACTAATCAGTTATATTGACTATAATAATACCCAGTTGCATTGTGTTTATTTCATTGTGTATGAACATTTTTTTCAAAATATCTTCTTTTGTGATCCACAGAAGATTAGGACGTGTCTGACATGTGGATGTGTAAATTACAATAAATTTTTTTTCAAGAATTATCTCTTTAAAAGGAATTATTACCGTTAATGCTTGTTGTGAAAACCTAAATTTTGACTAACCTTTGATGGGCTGCCAGTGAACTTGTACGTGTAGGCCGTACTGGGGGTGAGACTCGAGCCGTTTTTATGAGGAGAAACAAAGATGGAGTGTCTCTGAGATACACGGCGAGGAGAGAGAGGCTGAGCACGAACCGACGGAAACGGAGATAACGGAGGAGCCTCCATCTTTACAGAGAAACAGAGAGAGAAAGAGTCAAACACTTGTTTCCAAATTATCTAAAAATAAAAATCAACAGTTATTAAAAGACGATTTTCAAATGAAGTAAAGCAATACACTAACCTTGTTGTCAAGCATGGAATGTGCATATTTAAGAGCGAATGATTTCATCTTTAGCACGTAAACAGAGTTGTAGAACTGGATGAGGTCTCCTCTTTCCTCTGATTCGCTTTCAGCCTCTGTTCTGTCAGCCTGCACCGTCCTCTCATTGGCTGTGAACAGAAACAAATAAATAAAAATATTTTAAAATGCAATAAAAAGCCAGGATACTTTTGCCAACTTCATCAAAAATAAATGTATATACACACACAACCTGTTTAAAAGTTTGGCATTGTTAACCTTATGTTTTTGAAACAAGTCTCTTATGCTCACCAAGGCTGCGTATATTTGATCAAAAACACAGTAAAAACTATAATATTATTTACGTAATATTATACGTTTAGGACTTTGCCCACATCATCCTTACACTGGTCTACTGGTGGATCCACTTCCATGTTCTCATCTGTCTGCTGCTCTCTGGGACGCCTCTTCAGTAAAACACTACGGTACACCTACAAACACACCAACAAGATGTTGTGGATGCCGTTGCATCAAAGCCTCATATGTGCTCTCATCACAGCTCAAATTCCAAGGTTTCTGACGTTAGGAAGCTAGGGCAAGCAGTCATTTTGAACCACTATCAATGGCATTTGCACATTAAGCACATACACAAAATAAATATAAAACAGTAGCAGTTAAGTCACAGGTTTGGAAAGACTAAGACTGTTGATACTCACATGACTGTTGGCCTGAGGTTGGGTTCGGTAGCATTTCATGATGTCCTGAAAAGTGTGCTCTTCTTTTGTGATCTGCAGAAGCAGCAGGCAAGTCAAAATAAACAAAATTTGATTGAAAATGCTTGATGTTATATTTTCATCTGATGATTTTTTCCCCCCCTTCACTCAAATCTTATTCTTCAGTAATATACAAGATTTTTTAAAGTTGTTAATACTTTATTCAGCAAGGGTGCATTAATTTGATAAAAAGTGACAGTTAAGACATTTATAATGTTATAACATTTCATGATGTCCTGAAAAGTGTGCTCTTCTTTTGTGATCTGCAGAAGCAGCAGGCAAGTCAAAATAAACAAAATTTGATTGAAAATGCTTGATGTTATATTTTCATCTGATGATTTTTTCCCCCCCCTTCACTCAAATCTTATTCTTCAGTAATATACAAGATTTTTTTAAGTTGTTAATACTTTATTCAGCAAGGGTGCATTAATTTGATAAAAAGTGACAGTTAAGACATTTATAATATTATAAAAGATTTCTGTTTCAAATAAAAAAATGTTCATTTGAACTTTCTGTTCAAAGAGTCAGGAAATCAGAATAACCGCTGAAGGATCATGTGACACTGAAGACTGGAGTAATTATGAAAACAGTTATTTTAAATTGTAATCATATTTCACCATATTTCTGTATTTTTACTCAAAATAAATGCAGTCTTGGTGAGAAAGAAACTTCTTTGAAAAACCTTACAGACACCAAACTTTAGAACAGTAGTGTAGTTCATTCGTTTTAGTCAATTGCTGTAACTTGCTACAACAATGTTGCCGTAGCCCAGGGGTGTCAAACTCAATTCCTGAGTTTAGTTCCAACACTGCTCCAACACACATACCATGTAGTTTTCAAATAAGCCTGAAGGACTTGATTAGTTGGATCAGGTGTGTTTAATTAGGGTTGAATCTAAACTCTACAGGGGCTCCGGCCCTCCAGGAATTGAGTTTTGACAACCCTGCCGTAGCCCTTCTCTCCACATTTCAAAAGGCATACCTTTGATATAATGTAGACGGCACAAAGCAGCA